TCTGGGATGAAAAGTGATGTGGCTTGATTTGTGTATGCATGTTTGACTTGTCAGAAGTTGAAAGTTGAACATCAGAAGCATGCAGAGTTGATGCAACTGTTAGAAGTTACAGATGGAAATGGGATAGCATTTCGATGGACTTTGTGATGGGCTTACCTAATACTTTAAGAGGATATGATTCGATTTGGGTGATTGTTGATAGGCTTACGAAGTCAGCTCATTTTATTCCTATTAACATCAGTTTTCCAGTGTCGAAGTTGGCTGAGATTTACACTAGTGTAATTGTGAAGTTGTATGGTGTTCCTTTGTGCATTGTGTCAGATAGAGATCTGAGGTTTACTTCTGATTTTTGGAAGATTTTGCAAGAGGCATTGGGTTCTAAGTTGAGGTTGAGTTCAGCGTATCATCCTCAGACATATGGTCAGACAGAAAAGACTATTCAATCGTTGGAAGATTTGTTGAGAGTATGTGTTCTTGAGCATGGAGGTTGATGGGATACTTATATTCCATTAATAGAGTTCACTTATAATAACATTTACCATTCTAGTATTGAGATGACACCTTTTGAAGCGTTGTATGGTGGGAGATGTAGAACTCCTTTATGTTGGCATGAATCTAGAGAAAGTGTAGTGCTTGGACCTGAACTTGTTCGTGAGACTATTGAGAAGGTGAAGATGATTCGGGAAAAGATGAAAGCTTCTCAAAGTATACAGAAGAGTTATCATGATAAGCGAAGGAAGGATTTGGAATTTTAAGCAGGTGACCATGTGTTTTTGAGAGTTACACCTGTAACTGGTGTTGGGCAAGCATTGAAGTCTAAGAAGCTCACTTCTTGTTTTATTGGTCCATATCAGATTTCATAAAGAGTTGGGAATGTGGCTTATAGAGTGGCTTTACTGCCTAATCTTTCGAATTTACATGATGTGTTTCATGTGTCACAACTCCGGAAGTATATTTCTGATCCATCTCATATGATTCATATGGATGATGTACAAGTGCGAGGTAATCTTACTATTGAGACGATGCATGTACGAATCGCGGATCGTGAAATGAAAACTCTAAGAGGCAAAGAGATTTATTTGGTAAAAGTAGTTTGGTTAGGAGCTGCTGAAGAAAGCATGACTTGAAAATTGGAAAGCGAGATGCGAGACTCCTAACTTGAGTTGTTTGAATGGGGTAAACTTTCGAGGATGAAAATATTCTAAGTGGGGGAGAGTTGTAACGTCCGTAATTTAATTTAATTATTTATTTAATTAGATTATTTTGGAATAATGGTGAAGTTGTGTAATATTGAGGGGATCATTGGTATAAGTTGTTAGATTATTATTAATTAATTACTTAGTTGATTAATAATAATTATATTATGTGGAATTAAAGGGAATATATGAAATAATGTTAGACTTATGCTATTGGTTAGAAGTAGTAAAGTGAGGGTGTAGGTTAGGCCCAAGAGGATTGATATATAAGGATAAGCTAACACAAGGATTTATTTTAGTTGGAGAATAAGGATTTCCGTACGATGACCGGTAGAGCTGCACGGACGAGGAACAAGCTGTCCGGTGTCGAGCAGAGCGAATCAAGGATTACGGACTAAGCTTTGGTTGAGAGACCTTCAATCCAGGTAAGGATGGGGTTCTGACCTTATAATGGGATTTATGATGTTTGTTATGGAGAATTGGTCGTACTTGTGATTGTTTCCCGTGATGTTGTTGAACTTGTTAAGGGAAGATGTCTGTTCTATTATGTTGTGGATATTTTGAGTTACTTGACTGTCAATTTAATTGATGTGTAGGTTAGGTTGTGATGGTCGTTAGCACGTTAGGTTATTCTGAACGATTGGCAGGGAAATTGGTAAATTGTTGAAGTGGCCGTTTTAGGGAGGTTCTGCGTGACTGTCTTGTATGTTGATGAATTTGTCGATAGGAATATGGTTGCCCGTTGTTGTGTTATTCCGAGTGGTTGGCCGGAAGTTATAAATTATAGTGGTGTGGTCGTTAAGATGTTGTATCGTTCCCGTGTTGTTGGCCGAATTAGTGGTCGGGGAGGATACTGAAGAAGTAGGCATCGAGCGGTAATTTAGGCTGTGAGGCGTGTCAGGGGTTATGTGTTAGATTTTCGAGTAGAATTAGAGTTGCAGGACATGTCGAGGAGCATAGGTTGGTCGTTACCCTGTTTTCTCTGTGCTTGTCGAGGAGTATGATTTAGTTGTATGCAGTCCTAGTTGTTGTACATGTCGAGAGGCGCATAGTTCCTTATCCCTTTTGCCCATACATGTTGTGTTTTGGTCGTTACCAGTGTTGTGTGAAATTATTGTTAAGTTGTTGTTTGATTATGTTAACGATTGAACCGTGATTGATGTGATAGGCTTATGGCCAACATTGTTTTATGCTGATTTATGTTGAATTATGATTAAGTTGAGGGCTTATGCCAATGATGTTGTGTTGTTGTGATTGTTGTTACGAATTCTTGTTGATAATGCGAAGTTGCAAAGATGTTGTAAATGATGATGAATTACCTCTATTTACTGGTAATAATACTAATGTGGGCTTATGTCTTGCGATGGATGATGATTGTTGTGTGTATGTGATAATGCATTCATATACATTTACATACTCTATGATGACCTGGTTGGCAAACTGCGAAGAAGGCTTATGCCTTGTTGATGCCTCTATTTATTGGCAAATTTTAAGATGGGAGTTCTGCTTTGTTTTTAAGATGGGAGTTCTGCTCCAATGGTATCACATGCATTCGCATAGTATTGAGTCGCATTCCAAGTAGTATGATTGAGTTGTTGTGTTGATGAATTAATTGTTGTATGTTGCTGATAATCTGTTGTGATTGTTGTTGTTATAAGTCGTGAAGTGGTGATTTTTGAATGAACTGATTCTAATATGATATTTATCATACATTCGATTATAGTATTCAATATTTCACCCTTTCTGTTTGAATGTTACTCTTGTGTTGGTAACGTGCAGGTAATCCAGAGTGAAGGCGGTTTACCTTCAATAGTTTAAGTCAGTGTCATTGCTCTGATACGTAACACTCGGGGGGGGGGGGGGGGGATGAACGCTTGTTGCTTTAGTATTTGTTATTTCAGTTGGCTGAACTTTAATTTGATTGTTGTTAAGTACTTGTTATTCTGAAGTTGCTTTCATGTTGGATAAAGATGTTATTATGATTCCGCTACGTAGTTGTTCAAGTTGTTCGTTTAAAAGATTAATTTATCTTACTGTTGGTTCATTCAGAAGTTTTAAAGTGTTATGTATCCATGTTGAATGCAATGGTTTTAAGTTGAATTTGTGACATCCTGATTCAGTTGTATACTTTTTATAACTTTGATTTACATTTATATTTTTGAGTAGAATTGGAGTGTTACAATGGTCGTCTTATTCATGTTCATATTCTCTTCGTTGTTTTTCATTTTATTTTTACCTTTCTTTCTTGTTTTTCTTTAACTAAATTTCTTCTAATCTTGTTACAAAATAGTTTTGATGGTGTTTGAAGTGTAAAATATATTAATTTATGTGTGTTTTATTGTGTTCTAGTTGTTAAGCTTTCAAATCCCTTTACAACATTCTAATGTCAAATGTTAACTTTTATATTTGATAATAAACTTATTTCATGATGCAATGAAAATCATATCATTATTTCATATAGATTAAGAATAATTTGTAATTTGTTTGAAAAAATAGAACATAAAATAAGTTTTAGATTTAATTTAATTCAGTTTAAATTTTATAGAAAAAATATGTAAATTCGATCTAAACTAATTTGTATACTTTAATCATTTAAATATCAAATTCTCTCAAAATCGAATTGTACGTCCGAAATGTATATCTCAGATAATCTATAAAGCCGTCCAACTACATTCAAGACACTGTCAACTTAAGCGTTTCTCTCTTACTAAGTCTCATGCTAGAGAGTTTATGTATGTATGAAATATATATCTCGAATAATTTGCAAAGCCGCACAACTACATTTGAGACACCAATAATCTAAATGTCACATCCTTACCAGACCTCACGTTTAGAGAACTGATGTACGTCTAAGATACATATCTCTAAATGTCTGCTCTTTCTACAAAGTCGCCCTTTGATGAAAACATCTTCTTCAATTAGAGATTAATGTCCTTTATGATACTCCAGAAACCAAAGAAACCAAAGAAATTAAAACCTATAAATACAATATAAATATCATCATTAAACTAGCACTATAAAAGAGATAGCCTAACTACATTGAAAAATCTCAAATACACAATATATATTATTAAATATATTGTAGCTTCTCACTACCAATTTCAAAGAGATCATCACATTATTCATCACATTATTCTTCAAAGAACATGAATAAAACCTATCCGGTAACACCCTTACATATAATCTTGTTGTTATGCCTACTTCCAATTCTTACAAGTGAAATGAATATAATTTTAAGTTTTATGTTATAGCTAAGATTGATTGCTCTTCAACGAGAACCATTCATCTATTTATCCCAAACATTCTAAGAAGAATTGCTTTTCAACTTCATCTATTTATCACAAACATTCAATGTTCAAGTTCCAACAATTCAACCTTGTCATTGTAATTTGAAAGATACCAATCCCATCCCATCTCACACACTTAAAACCAATAACTACAGCACTTACTTTACTTACTCAAAAATAGAAAGAAAAAAAACAAACAAGGACATAAAATTACTTCTCTTAAAAAAGATAATAATAAATAATAACAATAATAACAATAATAAAAATTAAAAAAAATAATCATTATGCATTTTCAGTATAAATTCTTTAGATAATTAATGTATTACCATCATTCATAAATATTTTATAAATTTAACAAAAATAAAAATTAAATTTTAATAAATATTTAACGATAATAATTTAATAAAAATATAAGATTGATTTACACTATCAATTAAATTCATTAAAAAAATGGAAATGGACACATGGCATATATTACAATTACAACAAATTAAAACCCGAAAACTAAGTGTTTTTATCAGCCGGAACCGGAAGTTCCACCGGCGCCGGAACTGGAAGTTCCACCGGCGCCGGAACTAGACGCCGCCGATAGCAGATTAAAAAGAGCACTCATGGCTCGAACCTGCATCTCAAGCGCAGGTATATAATCAATAGCTTCTTCCAATATCACCGGTAACGGTTCATTCTTGCAACCAGGAACCAACCTTCCAAGAAACCGTACCTTACTCTGCACGCCGGGAAACACCCTACCTTTCAACCGGAAAACATTCACTCTCGACTTCTTCGATCGCGTAGACGGTAATAAAGCCGTTACGCGATGTATCTTCTTCTTCTTGTTCTTATTCTTCATGAAGCTGAGTTTGAGCCGGGTCATCAGAATGGCTCGGCTCCATCGGGTTCTTCCTTTGGCTGTCACGGCTAGAGCTCTGTCGGCTGCTTCACGGACAGCTTTTCCACGGCGGGGAGTGGTTGTTGAGTTGAGTTTTGTTATGGCGTGACGGAGTTTGGTGGAGTAGAGTTGTTGTTGTGCTTGGGATTTCCATTTAGGGTTGATATGAATCTGAGAATCTTGATGATGCTTCTTGTTCTTTGGTTTCTTTGTATTTGAGCCACGTGACGTGTTCGTGTTTTTTATTGTAGAAGATGGTGATATCATTGGAATAGATTTTTCTTTTTTCTGCGTGTTGTAATTGTAGAGAAATAGAGAAAGGTTGAAAGAGAATTGAATACTGAATTTGGAAGAGATGGAAGAAAGAAAGAAAGAAAGAAAGAAAGAAAGGTAGTTGAGTTTTGGGATGAAAACAGAACGGGATGAGGTGGGTTGGTGAGGGGTCAGTGTCCCTGCAATTGGGAGGAAGAGGGCGTAACGGAGTGTGATACTTATAAAGGGCTTATAGTTAACTTAGAGATTAATGTAAGGGCAAAAAGACAATTGAAAAATAAGTTAGAGAATAACATAAGTAAAGTTAATTATTAGTTAAACTTTATTTATGTTGAACTTTAGTTTTACTATTAAAAGTCTTTTGTCTAGAGAATTAAAACAAAAAAATAATTTAAAGTATTCACTAGTGCATGCACCAAAAATAGGTGGAGCCGTGAAGTTTAGAGTTTTTCTTTTGTAACCATACGCTACTTCTTTTAATAAATTAAAAAATTAAAATTAGAAGTATTAACGAGTTAGAAAAAATCGATTAAAGCGATCATTCTAATTAAATTTACACATTCTCTAATATTTTATCTGAGTCAAGTTGTGAGACAATGGATGAAGTGAGATAGTCATATAAGGATTGGTCGAGGACGCATTCAAGAAGACTGAGTTTTGTTTGTTAAAGGCCCATCCGAGTAAAAAGTCGATAAGAACTGTCAGTAGGGACATATCCGAATAACTATCGTCTATGAGCGGTCAGGGTATTTAGGTAGAGTAATCAGACAATTGAGGACAATTACAGTGTGACCGACTCATAAAGAAGGTAACCGCACGTTAATGGTAGCATGAACGTTACATTCTTTGATGAGGCAATAATGTAGTGGCGCGAACATTATGAAGCCTTGACTATAACTCAATAGAAGGCAGCGGTGACCGTTACCAATTATTGAATACAAGAGTACCCCAAAGGGCACATCTAATAGGAAGCAAGCCTAAATATATGGTTAACCCATGGAGAAAGGGATCTGGAGCATACGCAAAAACTACATACACAGTAATAATTACCATACATATGAGGTTTTCCCTGAATAGTAGCAGGGAAGTTGACCATTGAGTGTTTAGCAATATTATTTGACGTCCACCGTGGGGCCCAGTAAAACTTACCTAGGGCCACACAATAAAATCTTCAAAGAATCCTTCATACCACACATACACGATGTCAAGTGAAGGCGATCCGCCACCACCAAACCTGACACACTTGATAGGTTTAGTGGAGGCTTTACGATAGCAGAATGAAACACTACAGAATAAGGGGCGAGTCTTATAGTCTCAGAGCCAGGGAGACGGGGAAGTAGAGGAGGTAATTCTGGATCCTCAACCCCTCTCTGAGGCCATAAGGGAGGATGAAGTCCCAAAATTTTTCAAGCAGTCGATGCTGACGTCCTTTGAAGGGAAGTCTGTCTCCCAGGAGCACATTATTGCTATTAACAATCAAATGGCGATAGTGGGAGTCTCTGACTCACTGAAGTGTAAAATAATGGCTGGGACCTTCAAGGAATCAACCTTAAGGTGGTGCATGTGCATACGCCCGATACTTCATAATTAGTTACCATGATCTTATGAGAAAATGGTCCAACATTTCTTAGCAAGTCGGCATAGGAAGGTGTTGACGACTAGCTTATTTAACGTCAAACAAGCCCCATTAGAGTCCCTGAGAGATTATATGGCACGTTTCAAAAACTAGACTATCAAAGTCTCACACCCAAATCAAGATATGTTTGTAGGGGCTTTCCAACATGGCCTCCGAGCTAGGAAGTTCAATGAGTCCCTGGCACAAAAGTCGACGTCCAACATGGAAAAGATCATTATCAGGCCGAATGTTACATCAAGGGTGAGGAGAGTAACATGGATAAAAAGTCCCGGGATGCAAAGGAGAGAGGATGGGTCAAGGAAGAAACGGTCTGGAAAAGGAAGGAGCAACCTAAGCCCGATTAAAGAGACCAATCGGCTTAACGTCCCCGCGTCGATCTTTCGATCGTGATGCAAGTTACACTTCGTTGAATGCTATGAGGGAATGCATTTTTAAAGAGGTATACCACCTCAATCTGTTTCCCGAGCCATGGCGTTCACAAGGGGTTAACAATTTGATGGGAAAAGATGAGGAGGCATGGTGTGCCCACTACTATAAAATGCATAAACAACAACTCTCAGTTCACCACAGTTCTTTCCAGCACCATGGTGACATCTCTAAACCCAGGCGCTAACATTTTATTTTATCTTTTGATTAAAAATTGTTAGCATATAATAACGGTTGCAGTCATAACAGTGGTTATAGAATCCATGCTTTCTTGGGTTAGAACCTCAGTGCCCTCACATATATTATTCATTTAACGTTAAGACACATCTTTTCTATTATATTTATTTATATATATATATATATAAAATAAAGTGTTACGACTTCGGTTGTTTAGGTAAATCATTATGATACATTTATATATATCACCATGGTTGGTAACTTCAACTGTTGTGAGTATATATATATACATATATAAACAAATTAACTCTCGCTCTTTCATAGTAGCATCGTGTCTTTCACAGCAAAATCCTATAACCCATATTTTCTCTTCTTCTTCATCATTAGCATTCATATTATACAGTATAGGCGTCAATCTTGTTCTTCTTTCATAAAGGTATTCTTCTTTTTCCTTTATTCTCTAGTTTTCGTGTATGATGTTGTTATGTTTCACATGGTTTTCCTATTAATTTCTTCTTACTAGATAGCTTATGGTTCTTTTATTGTTGTATGTGTTGGTGTAAGCCCTAGAGGCCAATACTTTTGGTACTTGTATCGAATTATTTATTAATAATAAAAGTCATTTCTTTATTATGTTTTCTTTTCCAAAATAATAAAGTCCCTAGAATAGTTAGTCTATTTAATGAAATGTTAAGTGTGACTTAATCACGAGATTCCATTAAACATAAAGACACTATTCTTAAAGTATATGTAGTCTAGATTTATCATGAAGTGGGATAACATTACAACATTGAGATTATTATGTAGATAGACTGATGATCACATCTCATGGATCATAGATAAGGAGTTATCAAGTCTTGACATATGTATGAATATTAGGAGTAATATTTATACTAGATTGACCCGCTATGAGAATACTACATTGAATGTTATGCAAAGTGTTATAAGTTATTCTCATGGTGATAATGGTGTATACCACCCTTCAACCTGAAACCACTATGGATCCTAGATGTAGAGTCAAGTACTTTATTGCTGATCAAACATTATCTATAACTGGATGACCATAAAGACAATTGATGAGTACTTCACAAAGCATGCTGAGGGACATGAGTGACCTAGATGGAATTTTCCCATCCCGCGTAACATGATAAATGCCTAATGACTCAATATGGAACTAGACAAGGATAACACGGTCTATGCCTTGTGTTCAATATAGACATAAGGGCAAAAGAGTTATTGTACACACATGTATTATCACATAAAGGTTTTGTCAGATCACATGACATTTTTGTGACTTGGATAGCAATGATGTGTTGCTAGATACCTATCACTGCTTATTATATTAAATATGTGATTTATTATAATTTCCAACGTCGCAAAAACCTACAGGGTCACACACATAAGGGCGGGTTTATGAGAGATAGAGTAAATAAGGAACATCGTAAGGTACATTGAACTTAAGTTGATTGTAGAACACCGTAAGGTACGATACACTTAAGTGGAATGCATAATATGGTAAGGTACCACGCGCTTAAGTGATATACGATACATCATAAGGTATGATGTCTGTATGCTTACTTGGGCTTATAGCTTGCAACCTTAATCGGGCTTTTAGCTTGCAGCCCACATAAGTGATTCTATAAATAGAACTCTTGTGTTAAAGCATTTTCACTTGATGAAATTTTGGTCTTGAAACTCTATCCATATTTTATCTCACTCTCTCACTCAAAGTTTTCGTTCATAAGCAGCTAGCACTGTGACCGGAAGCGATTGTTCGTGTGGATTGAGTAGAAGCATTGTTCTTCATCAATGCTCGGATCACATCATCAAAGATTTGAATTGCCACAAGAGGTAATAGTTTCTATCACTGACCATACCCATTTGTAAGGATCACTAAAGGAAAACTTTAATTTCTACTAGGTATTATATCCCGATTTTCCTTCGGTGGTATTAGAGCAACTTACGAAACCATGGATATGATAACTGCTTATTTTATATATTTTTTGTATTAATCCGATTAAAATACATAATGAATTGAATAATAACCAAGTAAATTAAATTTTGGCATCATCGTGTGTAATATTTGGATGAATCGATGTTGATTATGCTTCGGAATCCAACACTAGTATGGTGAAGCAACGATGCATTGGTCATCCATAAGTTACACTAATATGATCGATCAACTTTATATATTATATAAATAATTTTGGTGCAAAGATGGTGTATTGTTTATATTGTTTTGATTTCTTCCATTCAATCACATAATGATTATTATCTTTTGAAAGATCATTGTTCATTAATCTCGGAATCCGATGTCAGTATGGTGAAGCAATGGCATATTGACCGATCATACTGAATCATCAATCGAGTTGTGTTTTACGGTATAAAATTATTTGCATTAGGGTTCATGATGGCACAAGGGTTGTGTTGTCAGAGAGTTATGTAGTTAGGGTTGTAAAAGCACAAGAGTTGTACTAAAAACAACGCTGATTTCAAATGAATTGTTCATTAAAATTTTGCGTCGGGGCAGTGCCTCTAACTCTGCGTAGTGTAATCAATCGCCAAAATTTAATTTGAATTTATTTAGTTAACAGAATTTAAATTAATAATAATAATAAAAAATCATTTTATTGTTGTTGTCTTGTGGTGATCATTTATGGCCTTAGGTTCCTTTATTTTGTTTTTGGGATTTTAAAATACGACATGTGTGTCGTGGCTTTCTCTTAATCTCTTGATGTAACTTCTCTTCTTATCT